TTACTTTTGCTCATCCTTCAGAGCAGGACGTGAATGACATTTGGGGCCAGACGATTCTTTGCAATGGGGGACTGGCCCGTGTACTGTAGGATGTTTAGCAGCATCCCTAGTTCCCAACTCCTTAAAGGCATTCTCGTCCTGTGAGAATTAGAGTTTTCGAGGTTACTGAGCACCCTCATGTGGCTCCTGTTTGACTCTCACGACAACTAAGAAAGTGTGAGGCCACTCAAGTGTTAACCCCTCTATTTTATAGGAAAGGGGCCATGAGGTGACAATAACTTAGGGGCTTGGGGGTCAAGAGAGACCTTCATGGGGTCTGTGCCCTCTCTTCAGAGAGGAACACCCTGGCCAACCGTTCCCCCGGGTGAGGCTGCAGGAGAACAGAAATGCCACCGCGTGCTGGTCCCCGAAAAGAAGCAATACGTTTTGAGAGGCCATGATTAAAATGGTCACATGCAGGAGGTCTGGGCCGATTCTAGCTACCTGCCCCCTAGATTCTCCAAGGAAAGAAGCCTGTCCTCCAGTGGCAGGTGGGATGTAGGTTTTCCCTTTCTGGCTGCCTGAGGCCCGACCTGCCCCTTTGAACAAAAGCCAGGACACGTGCTGGACTTCGTGGGATACATGAAGACAAAATGGTTCCCATGGTGGCTGCTTGTAAGAATCTGCAGATTCATGAGAGAAGCCCAGGGGGGATTTCGGAGCCGGGGAAATTGGAGGGGTCCGGGAAGCCTGCAGAGAGCTGGGGCTGTGTGGGCTGATGGAAGGGGCCCTGCTTTCTGTCCCCCTGTTGGCTGTGGGACCGTGGCCTTACTGGCCTTTGTGTTCCTCATACATAAAGAGAAAAGACCAGAATCTGACCAATGTGTATCAGGGTTTTTTTCTGCCGAGAAAAAGGACTCTTGACCTGGAGGGGGGAAAGTGAGCCAAGTGTTTTAGAAAATGAAGACATAATTTTGGGGGGTGCCTTCACCAACAATACACCTAGCATCATGGGATAAGTAACTTCCCTCGTGCGATCGCTGTTAATGATGATGAGAGCGAGCCTGTGTGTAGCACTCACTCGAAGGTTGGTGTGGCTCTAAGTGTTTTTCATGCATGAACTCATTCAGTCTTCACCTCAGTCCTATGAGGGAGCGAGTACCGTCCCCGTTTTACAGGTGAAGTTGAGACACAGAAAAGTTCCGTAACTGGCCCAAGGCCCCAGAGCCAGCAACAGGAGCGAAGAATCCGATTCCAGGCTCTTGGGCTGCCCGCCCCCCGCCCCCCGCCATGCTCGAAACCACCGCAGCCACAAGACAAGGCACCTCTCCCATCCCTCAGCAGCACTTAGGCCTCCCTTTCTGTTTGTGAACTTTGGGATCAATAGTGTGAGAAAGTGACTCAAAGACATAAGAACTAACTTTTCTGGAGATGTTTGCGTTCTCCTGGGAGATTCCGGACAGCGGGAATGGATCTAGGAAGCAGATTCCCAAAGGGAGTCGTTTGGGGGCAGGGCTCCCTTCCCAGCAGCCTTGAATCACATGCAGTTGGAACACGGGCCTTGAAGGCGGCTATTTTACTAAGTCTCAAAATGTGTTCGGCGTTAGGAAACAGGAAGCCAGTTTACTGTGGGCATGAGGAACGCGTGGTTTCTCCCAAAAGCGTAGCTGAGTCACAGCTCCCCTTGGCCTCTGAGGAGACACCCCCACCCCCCTTCATGTCTGAAGGCCACTTGTCATTTTTACAAGCTGCTGGGAGACTAGGGCCCCTTCCCCCTCATGCCCTAATCCAGCCCAGTTCTAGATCTTTTTCTTTTTCCCTCCTGGAAAGCCTACAAAGAAGGAAGGAAGGAAGGAAGGAGGGAAGAAAAGAAAGCTTAAACTGTGGTTTTCTTTTACATGCCTTTTTAAATATAGTACTTTCCTGAGAACATAACTCACAGACCATGCAATTTACCCATGAAAAGTATGCAATTTGGATAAAATACACAAATGTACGTTCACAGTTGTGCAAGCATCAGCACGATAAAGTTTAGACCATTCTCATCACCCCTAAAAGAACCCTGTGCCCCCTGGCAGTGATCCACATCTCTCCCCAACCCCTGGCAACCACCCATCTACCGTCTGTCTCCACGGATTTGCCTGTTCATGGATTTCACAAAGACGAAGGCGGACAACAGGTGCTCCTTTGTGACTGGCTGCTTTCACTTAGCATGTTTTCAAGGTCCAGCCACCGTGTATCGCGTGTCAGTCCTTTGTCTTTCCTTCTGGCCAAATCACCTTCCATTGTCTGGGTGCACTGCACCTGCTGATACATTCATCAGTCGATGGGCCTTTGGATGGTTTCCACCTTGGGGCTGATAAGAATAATGCTGCCATGAACATTTGTGTTCAAGTTTTTTGCGTGCACGTGTTTTTGTTTCTCTTGGGTGGACACCTGTGTGTGGGATCGCTGGGTCACACGGTTACTCTGTTTCACTTTGTGAGGAACTGTCAGACGGTTTTCCACAGTGGCTCCATCACCATATATTCCCGCCAGCAACGGGAGAGGGTTCCAGTTTTCTCCTTGCTAATACTTTATACTGTATGTCTTACTGATTTTAGCCATGAGTGAGAAGCTGTGTCTCACTGTAGCTTTTTTTTTATAGATTTTTTTTTTGAGAGAGAGAGAGAGAATGAGAGAGAGAACACGAGATGGGGGAGGGTCAGAGGGAGAAGCAGACTCCCCACTGAGCAGGGAGCCCGATGCGGGGCTCGATCCCGGGACTCCAGAATCATGACCTGAGTTGAAGGCGGTTGCTTAACCAACTGAGCCACCCAGGCACCCCCTCACTGTAGCTTTGATGTGCATTTTCCTGATGGGGTTCCGGATCCTTTGACTGTAATCCCTCACTGGTCCTCAGAGCTGGTGCTTTTGCCCCTCGCTCAGCTATATGCCCCTCACCCAAGCCCCTGTTCTCTGTCGCTTCTGACCCCTCTTTTAAACCACTTCTATGTTTTTTTCTTTGTAGAGGTCACTACAGTTATAAACCATTAAATTATTAGGTAATTTTTTTAAATGTCTGCCTTCCCCACTGGACCATGATGTGGCGGGCGGCTGATCTGCTCACCAGCCTGTGGCGTGGTGTCTGCAATAGTCAGCTGCCAACCACTATTTGCTTCAGGAATGAGGGCATTTGGACCGGCATGGTTGAACTCTGCTGTTTCGACAGAGGGTAACCCCTGACTCCTATGGGTCCATAGAACGTCCCTGTGGCTTGAATTCAAGGAGGAAGATGAAGCATAGATGTTAAATTGTACACTCTATGCTTAGAGACTCTGCCGCCTGAGTTCTTTCTGATAGTGTTCACTGGGATCTCGTACAAGCAGTCCGGTTGCCGGCTGCCCGTGGTGCCTGGCAGCATCCCGTGTTCTGGGGCACCAGCCAGCTCCCCAGCGGAGCTCTGCTAAGGACTTCAAACCGGAGGACCCACCAAAGTAGAAAGTGGTCAGGAGTTGCACTTGGCGGTTTGAGGGAAGCCCGTTGTGTTTCTAGTTAATCATTTACCTGGAAGAGAATTAGAAGAGGGAAACTGTTTATCAGTTTTCTCCCTTCCTTCCTTCCTTTCTTCCTTCCTTCCTTCCTTCCTTCCTTCCTTCCTTCCTTCCTTCCTTCCTTCCACAAAAATCAAGCAATAGAACAGCCATAGGGGAGGGACTTAGTTGTGTATCCCCAGCACTTAGAACAACGCCGGGCTCACGGTGGGTGCTGCATATGTTGGAGTGAGTGAGCGGTGAGTGAGTGAGTGAGTGAATGCCCAGAGCACTTCGGTGGGAGCTAGGGTAGCCCAGTCCTGCATCTGGGTGGGGGGGGATGTATGTGTGTGCGTGCACGTGCCTACCTGCATCCCCCCTGCCTTTAGCAGTCACAGGGTAGTGCGGCAGCAGCCCCGGAACCCGCTTTCTCTCCTGGGCACCATCACCCCCGCTTGGGTCACCTGCATCCCACGCTGGCCCCAGGGGACGGGGGGCTGAGGAGAGACTGGAAACCAGAGCCCATGCCTCTTAACCTTCCTTGCCAGAAATTTCCTGCTGAATTAACCACTTGTTAATTCCTTTGGTGGAGGGAGGAGAAGGGCGAGGTTTCTTTATGGGGGCTCCTTGCAGGTCTTGCCCCTGCTGCGTGGAGGTCAACCAGCTCGTGCTCTCCGTCCGGGGCAGCGGGACAAGGCAGGGCTGGCAGCGGCTCCTCACTTTGCTCTCTGCAGAGGCGCTGCCCGGAGGAAGACCTGGGAGGCTCCATGGGAGCACGTGGATGAAGGTGCTCCAGGGGCGGCTTCTGAGAGCCACGTCCAGGCTCCGGTCAGTGGATTCATCTCTGCAGCTCGACGTTTTCATAATTCAACCTTGCAACAGCTCTGCGGGAGCGTGATGACCCTCCTTTTGAAGATCAGGAAAATGAAGATTCTAGCAATTACATTAGAAAGTGGCAGTGGGCAAATGCAAGATGAAATCTGTAGATTCTGGGCGCCTGGGTGGCTCAGTTGGTTAAGCGTCTGCCTTTGGCTCAGGTTATGGTCCCAGGGTCCTGGGATCGAGCCCCGCGTCGGGCTCCCTGCTCCGCGGGAAGCCTGCTTCTCCCTCTCCCATGCCCCCTGCTTGTGTTCCCTCTCTCGCTGTGTCTCTCTCTGTCAAATAAATAAAATCTTAAAAAGAAAAGAAAAGAAAAGAAATCTGTAGATTCTAAGAGAAAAGCTTTGTCCACTTTTATTTTTCTCCAGGTTTTCCTGACTTTACTAACGACTTCCCTCTTGTCATTAAATAAGTGTTCGGTTTTCTCCTGCGTCAAAAGGGGTTATGATCACAGAACACACGTGTTTGAGTCCCCAGAAACCTGTATTTAAATATCGTCTCGCCGTGCCTGTTACAGCAAAAGTCCAGAGGCTAAAGGAAGTTAATCAGTGGCTATAAATGAACAGTTACAATTGTTCACATTTTCTCCTCTGATTTTTAGGGGAATTTGTGCTTGAGGCAGGATTTGAGCGTGCTTTTGCTACTGTCAGCAAATACAGCCACGTGGGAGGAATGTTAGCGAAGCATTTTGGACATCGGGTAGAGTGTTGGAGAAGGTGAGCCTTCCGTGTCTTTCTGACCCAGTGGTTCTCAGGCGCAGCTGCCTCCCACAACCAGGGGGACATTTAGCAATGGCTGGAGACACCCGAGTTGTCACAGGTAGGGGACGGGTGGCCCTGCAGTGCATCCAGGACAGACCCCAGAGCAAAGAATTATTTGGCCCTAAGTGCTGTGGTTCACGGAACCTTTCAACCAGGTTAGGTGGGTAGAGGTAGGTTTCAAGACAGGGAGCGACTCGAAAGATGACGCATCTTCAGATTCTCTTGTGTCCTTCGATAAGACTTCAGGGTAAATCTGGAGTTCCCTGGAACCCCAGCTGCTTCCTATGACCTAAGCCAGGATTTCTCCTCCCACAGAGGCTGACACTCGTACTTTCACTGGCAACGCTGATAGCTGCATTTGGGTCATCCTTTCAGTATGGGTACAACGTGGCCGCCGTTAACTCCCCTGCCGAGGTAGGTCACTGGAGTGAGTGAGACGCAGCCCCCGACCAACGGGGAGAGGGGGCTGGAGCAGCCTGTGCCCGAACATGGCCACCTGGGTGGTGGTACGTGCATACTGGGGCGCACAGTGGGTCCTCAGGTCCCGAGAGAGGGAAGTATGCACGAGACACACAGCACGGGCCCAAGGGAATGACTTGCGGGCACAAGGCCATGGGGGTGAACCCGGTCCCCCGGCCTCAGCTTCTCATGGGAGGCCAAGCCTGGCTGTGCACACGGGGGCTGGTGCGGGTGGGGGCTCTGGTCTTTTGCAGCCCTGCACTCTCCAGAGGAGTCTGGAGGGTCAGGGGTCATCCAAACTGGAGTTAGCAACGTCCTGGGCAGGGTGCCTATCAGAGGCCTGGCAGCTCCCCACGTGGGTGCTCCTGCTAGCTGCCAGTCATACCACTCTGTCCCTTCTCCCTTCCACTTCCTAGTGTCACTGTCTGTGTGCCCAGGTCGTCCACTGGGGGGCCTCACAGCTCCCAGTGTTCTTTCTGCAAAACCAGATAGTTATTTTGGTGCTCTCTTCCGCTTTGTTCTCCAGCTCATGAAAGCATTTTATAATGAGACCTACTATGAACGCAACGATAACTACGTAAATGAGTTTTCCTTGACATTGCTGTGGTCTGTTTCTGTGTCCATGTTCCCCTTTGGAGGCTTCATCGGCTCCCTCATGGTCGGCCCCTTGGTGAATAAACTTGGCAGGTAAGGCAAGGTAAATTTCCAGCTCCTGAAAATCCTAGACCCCGACCATTTCAAACCCAGGTCTAAAGCTGAAGTTGTTGTTGTTGGTGGTGGTGGTGGTAAAACTAGGTAATAACCATTGTGACGATTTCTGTTTTCTAATATGGTCTTAAAAAGACCGGCTGTTGATCAAGTGTCTGAGGATGAGGCAGGGTCTCAGAGCTAGAGGTGGGTACGGCGGGTCTCGGGCCCTGGGGGCAGGCCAGAAAGAGCAGAGCATACTTCACAAGTCAGGACCCGCTCCCTCTGTGTTCTCTTGTCTTACACGCATAGTCCTTACCAAAACCAAAGCAAGTTCTCTCTTCTCTCTCTTTTTTTGCTTTTTAAAAGAGTCAAACACCAGATAACAGGGCCACAATGTCCGTCCCAACGCAGATCATAGCACAGCATTCTTGAACTCTGCCTCCCAAACCAACACAAACTCACTGCTCTCTTCTTTTACCTTGAGATCAAGTAATAGGCAGAATTTAACCCGAATTAAATTCCTATAAAACTCTGAATTGGCTGAGATTAATGCCAGGCACTCCAGTGTGAAACTGCATGGTCCCAGGGTGACTCTCACTATGAGAGTTGTGAATGCCAAGGGCAGAGCTTGTATATATCTTTTTGCCCCTAATTCTAGAAACATTAGAGATTATGTATTTGATTCCAAAAAAGGTCCTTAAGACATCACACTCCCTCCTGTAAATTCCATGGGCAGGAGAGAGCAGCCTTGTTAGGAGCGTATCTAAGAGCTCCTTCCCACCAGCCCCTTCCCTCGGCGAACGAGCACATGGAGGCTAGGTAAGGTCAAATCATCTTCTCGGCCACAGATGTCATTAGCTTGAGAGTCAAGGCCAGAACCCAGCGCCTTCCCCAGTATTTTTCAAAAAAGAGTCTGAGATTAGAAACATACAACCTCTGCTTTGGGATCTAAGATCCTGAGGTCTTCCTGGGAGGTCGGTGTTGAACTCAGCAGTTTTCTCTGCCGGCCAGAACATCCAATCAAGTCACAGATCTGCAGGCCAGGTCTCCTTGAGTAAAGGACTTTGGTCCGTGTTCATCCATTTGGTCCACAGATGGAGTAGACAGTTGCTTGTCCAGCTGTCTGCTTGAGAATGTGATAACAATGCTATTCATTTGTTTGTGGTTTTCTTAAAGTTCTGTTCCTTATATAACAGTAGCGACTAACAATTTATTGATGGGTTCCTATGTGCCAGGCTCTATCCCGAACTTGGGCTTTTAGGGTCTTTAGGGGTTTTGTTAGGGTTTTTAATTCCTCCAATCCATACAACAGCCCCATCCCCTTTTTCAAAATGCAAAAACAAAGCACAGAGAGATGCTGTCACTTAGCCAAGATTATACAGCTGGGAGGAAATTCCATCTCTGAGCCTGTCAAAGCAACACTGTTTTATCAGGCAAGTATCTTCTCTAACTGTTCCTTTATTGTTTAATCACACACATAGTATCTTTTTCATACAAGATATTTACATGTTCACGTGGTCAGACTTAACTCTCATTTATGGTTTTTGCTTTTTGTGTCTGAAGACAGCCTTCCCCACCCACCTGGATTCACAAGGGTAGTCTTCTATAATTTAAAAAATTGTGTTACAATTTTGTTTTTCCCAGGCAGATCTGACATTTTATTTTGTATGGCGTTTTAACATTGAAAGGTTTTTCTATATGCTGTTGAATTAAATCTGCTAATATTTCATGTACGATTTTTCCATCTATGTGATATCAGTGAGGTTGGTCCTATACATTTCTTCTAATGTCCTTACCTGATCTGGTTTCAAGATTCCACTAACATCATGTGAGTTGGTGATTTCAAAAACCCTGGAGTGTATCCTAGTAGGCAGCTCTTTCCCTCTGCTCCCCACCACCGATGCCCTCTGCACTGTGGTCATTTCCCACTGTGGCTCCCACCAGGCTGTGCACTTGACCGCTATCACCAGGCTGTGCACTTGACCCCTATCAGCCTACGATCGCAGAGAGTGGAAGCAGCAGCTAAGCCTGTTGCTGTAACTGGCCAGAACTTGGTGCACATCTGTTAAATGAACACGTGAATCCTTCCCCCAGACTAACTGACATTTCGTCCTCTGCAGGAAAGGGACTTTGCTCTTCAACAACATCTTCTCCATTGTACCCGCGATCTTAATGGGGTGCAGCGAGGTTGCCCGGTCATTTGAGATGATCATTGTGTCCAGACTTCTGGTGGGAATATGTGCAGGTAAGTGAGGCTATGCTGTGCTACCGCTCTGTAATTTAGGATGATTGGGGAAGAGGGTCAGGCACCAGGGTCTGGATCATTCTGGGGCTGCTGAAGCACGCAGACACAGCGGAGGCTGCACCTGCCTCTGCCCTGAACTAGACCCTGGAGCCCACGCTTTAGTCTCAGGTGTGTTCAGGGGCGGAGCGTCCCTGTGCCGCTTCCCACAAAAAGAGCCCTTGCATGAAAGACAGAAATACAGAATCCTGTGCAGAGGTGTGCTTCTGTCTGGTCTTTTATCTTCGTGTTTTCTCAACTGCAGGTGGGCCAGTGGGTGGGCGGAGACCCCTGATTAGTGAGCAGCATTTTCTTTTTCTGGAGAGAGTAGACCGTGTTGTGTGCAATAAAGGTAAGGATGGTCTTCTGGAACTTTTGCTTCGGTTATTTATACGTGTATGAAAATCAGGTTGCAATGTAAAACATGTTTCTGTATTTTTTACTGTGGGTCATGGTTGAAAAAGCGCGATGAACAATCTAACGGACGAATCCCTCTTAATGAGAACAGCCTCTCAACTTGTGTAGGGAAAGTGAAGTTTGCAAAGGGCTCTTCGTGGGGGTCCTCTTTCACTTCCTCCTCCAGCGGCCACCTGCTGCAGAGAGCAATGACTGGCTGGGGTCTCTCACCCCATAAGCCCCGGAGCTGCTTTGCAAACCCTCCAAAGCTGTCCTCGGAGGCCGCGCTTTGGTGGTCGTAGGAAGCTCCCCCACAATTGCTTCAGACTGAGGAGGTGGGGCTAAAGCCATGCTTGCGATCTTCCCCCCCGCCCGCCCGCCCCTGTGACTTGGCATTCTTCTGTAGACTGTAGTTCCCAGGGCTGGTGGGGGTGAGTGGGGCGCCCACTCTCGGGGCTGTGCGCCTTCTGGGTGGGCACCCAGGGTAAGCGCCCCCAAAATGCTGCATCCTGGGCGCCTTGCCAGCAACCCTGCACCCGGCCCTGGCGGTACCAGCAGCTCTCATTTTCTCCTTCCAATCACGGGGCTAGGGATGAATGGAAGACCTGGCTGGATGTCAGCAAGCCCCGCAGCGGGCTCTATGGACAGTGGTGGGCACGGCGAGGAGCCTGGTGTTAGGGGAAATGGCGAGGAATTGCAGGGCCAGGGAGAAGAAGAGGAAAACAAGATCCTTGAAGAGAGAAGAGGTCCTGTCAAGGAGAGAGTGATGGGCCCCACGACAAGCTTCCTTCGTACTGCTTTCCCTGAGAGCGCTGGATGGACCTCTGCCTCCTGAGCCCCAAGGGCTCCTGGCCTGTCTCCCCCTGCAACAGGGCTGGGCTAATGAAACACGGATGATTCCTGGAAGGTGCAGGCAGACACTTTTCTGTTGACCATCCAACACTTCAGGGTTGGTTCCAACAGGGAAATATTAGGCTCCAATAGATAACAAATCACAAAACCCCCAACCTTTACTCTTAAATACACATGACTTTCAAGTCAGTGGTTCTCAAACATTTTGGCCTCACTCTTACACTCTTAAAATTATTGAGAGCTCCAAAGAGCTTTTTGCTCATGTGGGTTGTACTGATCAATATTTACCATTTAGAGATTGCAGCCCAGGGGAGCCTGGGTGGCTCAGCTGGTTAAGCGTCTGCCTTCGGCTCAGGTCATGATCCCAGGGTCCTGGGATTGAGCCCTGCATTGGGGGGGGGCGGTGTCCCTGCTCAGCGGGGAGTCTGCCTCTGCTCTTCCCTGCCCTGTTCATGCTCTCTCGCTCTCTCTCAAATAAATAAAAAGAAAAGAAAAGAAAAGAAAGAAAGAAAGAAAGAAAGAAAGAAAGAAAGAAAGAAGAAAGAAATTGCAACTAAGAAATGTTCATTTAATTCATTTAAATGCTGACAAGATTACATACATGTGATTCTCTTATGAAAAGAGCTGTATATTCTAAAACAAAAAGACTTAGCGAGAAGAGTGGCATTGCCTTACATTTTTGCAAATCTCTTTAATGTCTGGCTTCGGAGAAGACAGCTGGCTTCTCCAACCTGCTTCTGTGTTCCACTGGCTGGGGTACCACGTGGCATGTCGCCTCTGGAATGCTCCACTGTGGGCTCAGGAGAGAAGGAGAATGAACAGGGTGCTATCTCAGGATTCCTGGAAAATGCTTTTGATCTCGCAGGCTCCCTGAGAAGATGTCAGGAGCTCCCTAGGTCCTCAGATCCCATTTGGATCTCAGGTCATAATCCATTTGCAGTTAATTCTTTCACTCGGCTCCCAAAAAAGTCAGGAAGGTGAGCGAGCCAGCAGCATGCTGCTCAGACATCCTAAAAAGGAAGGGAGCAGCTGCTCTGCCCAAAAGGGGTACAGGGACCAAGGGGGTGCAGGGACAGACAGTGGGACTTGAGATGCTCAGTTCACTGGCTCACTGCTAGTCAACTCGAGTGGCAGAACACCAAGCGCTTTCCCCGAAGGCATTTCAAAGGTAAAAGCCACTTTCTCCGACTCTGTCCGACCAGGCCAGCTGGGATTGCCCAGTGGAGTCGCTTTTAAGTCAGACTAGAGATTGCTTCCCACCAGCAAGAAGGGGACCCTGTCTCTTCCCAAACCTCCGATGTTTGCCTCTTCAATTTTTGTCCCTCATCAAGTGAAGAGCTTGCTGCTGAGATGTGAGGTCCCTCCCACCCCCCCACCCCCGAGACCTGAGTGGTGACCACCGACCCCACCCCTCAAGGGCCCCTGCTTCCTCCCAGCCCTTTAGGCACTAGGCCTGCGGGGTCCCCACACATACCCCACCAGACTTCCCAGGCCTTCTGCACAGACCGCCCCCCCTTGCTCTGACAACCGGGAAGAACCGGCGTGAATGAGCAGCGAGCCTCTTTTAAACCACTATGCAGATATCCTAGGGCAGGATCCCCAAGCTTGAACCCTTGGTTCTCAAAAGGTTCCCTCCTATCTGGATGTCATCCAGTACCCACCCGCTGCCACACTGTTCGCCTCGGCCTCCCTGCGGCCGGACCCCCCTCTCAGACCTGCCTCTCTCTGAGCCCCAGCCTGAGTCCTGACTGCGTGCTCGATACTTGGACTAGTGACGACCCCCGACCTCTGTCCAACATTCTCAGCCTCTTGTTGGGCTTTTGGGGGAATTAAATGGGATGATCTATGTAGAAAATACTTCCGAGCCTATAAAATTTAGTTCCAGCTAATCTTCCTTGTTCCAGCAAGACAAGAAAACTTAAAAGTTTAAATAGTGGGCATTCGGAAGTGGCAATTATTCCATAGTATATGTTTACATTTGTCATGCTGACTGATGAACGGAGCTTCTGCTTCAGTGTGTGGTCAGCTGTGCATCAGTTGGTTATGTAACATGCCTGCTCAGAAGGCGAAGCTGGTGGGCAGGGGTCCTTGGCCCCGTACGAACAGCTTCCCCCAAGGAGCCAGAGAGGAGAAGGTGCCAGACCACACCTGGGCTTTTGTTCCCTGGCACCAAGCCAGTTAGGAGGGCAGCCCAGAGGTCAGGCCGCCCGTGTCCCCCGCCCCCCATGACACGAGTTGAAAAGCCAGGCTGCTTGTCGATGAACTTCCTTGGCTCAGACTATTATTTCTTTCCTTACAGTTTAAAAGATGAAGAATTAAAAGAGGTGTTTGCTTACTCTCGCCATTTTGAGACAAAAGTTCCAGCCCACCTGATGTGATTGCTGGATAAGAATGAGTGTGTTTGAAGACACAGCTTGTCCCTGTCAGACTTAATGTTTCCTGATGGTGTTTTTACTTCAATCCCCTGCCAGGTCTGTCTTCCAGTGTTGTCCCCATGTACCTGGGGGAGCTGGCCCCCCAAAACCTGAGGGGGGCCCTGGGGGTGGTACCTCAGGTCTTCATCACCGTCGGCATCCTCGTGGCTCAGATCTTTGGTCTTCGGAGCCTCCTCGCAAACAAAGAGGGTAAGCCCCGGCTGCCTCCAGACCCCAGGCCTCCCTCCGCTCCGACTGAACGTTTCTGTGAGCTGGTCTTTCCTCTCTGGTCGGCTGGCTGGCCTCGCCACACTGCCCTGGCCCCACGGTGCTGGCGTGGTGTTTGCACAGAACGGGTCCTGAATAAGTTGGCAGGGACCGTGCAGCTGACATTTTCCAGGCCCTCAGAGGGCACGGATGAGGGGGCTTTAGAGTGAGGCTCTGTGCTTGAGGCTTCCTGCCACCTCCTCACTCAAGCCTCCCAGCAACGCGGCTGGGGTGGGGGGTAGCAGCTCCGAGACCGTCCCATTCCATGGACCAGGAAAGGGTCAGGTGGTGGGTCAGGTGGTGAGACAGGGCTGGTACCCATTCTAGACCCTGACTCTGGAGCCACACTGCCCTCCTGGAGAACCCAAGCCCAGCACATAGTAGGTGCACAGTAACTGGTAACCGCCACTGCTTCTGCAGGAACCCCCCCCCCCCCGCTTTCTGGTCTTAGGTCTCGAAAGGGAAATCACCATTAATTGTCACACCAGCCAGAACGTATAATGTGCTTATTGTGGGCCAGGCACCAAGTCTTTATACTAATTCCATTCAATCCTCCAAACAACCCTCTAAAGCAGATACTGTTATTATACCCATTTTACAGATGCAGAATCTGAGGCATAAAGAGGTTGGATAATACGTCCAAGGTCTCCTTAGGATGCACAGCCCAGTGGCTTTGTCCTAGGTCCATGTTAAGCAGCCACTGTCCCCCTTTCAATCACCCTCGTAAAGAGCAGGGACCAGGGCTTCAGGGGCTGAGTTCCTGTCTCCCAGTGATGGCACGTAAATGATCAGCAGGACGCAGGGCAATCTGGAGAGCCCTGGTGTCCGCGAAGTGCTTGCTGGTGTGCAGTAGGGAGTGACTGGTTCTGCCCAGCGAGGGGGGCCTCAGAGAGAGCTGAGGGCCTGGAATGGGGGAACGGGACCAGCGTTCGGACATGGGCATGGGGGGCAGAAACGCAGAAGTTTTTTGTAAGTTCAGGGAACTACAAATGTTGGGTGGAATGCATTTGTCCATCCTTTTTTGAGACTATTTCACTGTTGGTGCCCTTCCTCCGGGCAGAGTGTGGGGAGGGCAGGGCTTTGGCCTTAGGCATCTCTGAATCTGCAGCACGAGTCCTGGCACATAACAGGTGCTCGAGAACAAGGAAGGAGGGAAGGCCAGAAGAGAGTGGTTGTGCAGGAGGCAGGCGGTCATGGTGCAGAGGATTGAAGAAGTCCGACAATCTTGAAAAGAAGATCGCAGCGGGGTGTCTGGATTTGGCAGTTCAGGGACTCCAAGAAGAGTTTCCCGGTAGGCGGTGGGGTGGGGGCCCGAGCCAGACGGCAGTGGCCCAAATCAGAGATGGGTCCACACCTGCTGATGACCGTGCAGGGCGATGGATTCAGGACCAAGTGAAACCTGCGTTTGCAGGTGTGCGGTGGGGTTGGTCCTGGCACCTGCCTCACGACGTGGCTGGTGGGGAAGTGAGTTAACACACGAAGAGCCGTTAGAGCAGATGCCTGGCATGCAGATGTCCGCTGTTGTCACTGAGTGTCAGCCCTAGGAGAAAAGGGGGAGAGGCAGAGCGTTAGCAGCTCCTAGAAGGAGCCTGAGCTACTCATTCACTCATTGGACCATATTTATGGTGCAAAATAACACACAGAAGGAAGAGCGCATAAAACACAAATGTACATTCCCTCCACCCGAAATCAAACACCGGCGTTTGGTCTGGACGCCAAACTAGAGCCATGCCAGGCCCCCCACAGCTTTCTGCGTGCCCCTCAACCATGGCCTGCCCACCCCCACTGTGCCGACATTTATCACCCCATCCTTGAGTCTCCCTATAGCTGTTTACTGCCTTTTGCAAAGACAGAGATAATTTTCTGTTCATCCAGTTGGACCGCATGGTGTGGGCTACTGCCCCCAGCATTGGGTTTCTGGGACTGGCTCCTGTCGTGGTTTGCTTCCTTTCCAGTGCAGTATAGGATTCCGTTCTGTGAATACCCCATGCTTCCTGTATCCATTCTACCATCGTGGGCATTTGCCTTGGTGGTTTTCATTTCTATGGTCAGTGCGGCTCGGACCAGTCCAGTTCAGGTGTCCCGGTGGCCCCGGCAGAGTCCCGAGCATGGACGGGGGTCCAGTGTCTCCAGCTTTGTGTCCGGCCCTTAAGGAAACCAGTCTGGGACAGAGTGGCCGGCTGGGCTCCAAGGGGCCAGGGGGGACTGGAGGGGCTCCAGGGGGGCAGGGCCTGGAGGGGCAGAAGGCAGGTGGCTTGGCTGGGGCCGGCTCTCACGTGGGCGCTGGCTTGCCTGCAGGCTGGCCGATCCTCCCCGGGCTGGCCGGGATCCCGGCGGCCCTGCAGCTCCTGTTCTTGCCCTTCTTCCCCGAGAGCCCCCGGGACCTGCTGATTCAGAAGAAGGATGAAGTAGCTGCCAGAAACGGTAAGGCTTTACTGTGCGGGGGGCAGGGGACAGAGGCCGCAGCGTCTTGGCTCCGGGGAGTTGGGGCGCCCTGAGCCGACCCCCTGCTCCCCTCCCTTAGCGCTGAGGAGGCTGCGCGGCTGGGACGACGTGGGCTCGGAGGTGGAGGAGATCTGGCAGGAGCATGAGGCTGAGAAGGCCGCGGGCTTCATCTCGGTGCTGAAGCTGTTCAGCATGAGGTCCCTGCGGTGGCGGGTCATCTCCATCATCATCCTCGTGGGCGGCCAGCAGCTGTCGGGAGTGAACGCGGTACGGGGACGGTGGGGCCCGGGGGGCGGCGGGGGGCCGGTGGCCGGTGTCACTGCGGGGGTGGGGGTGGGGCCCTGTCGCAGGTGTTGCCCTGAGGGCCCCACCAGCCTCCGGGGGTACCTTCCAGATCTACTACTACGCAGACCAGATCTACCTGAGCGCGGGGGTGAACGACCATGACGTCCAGCATGTGACAAGTGGGCACGGGGGCTGTCAACGTGCTGATGACCATCTGTGCCGTGAGTCCGACAGCACCACGCATGGAGGGCATCTTAAGAGTGGGGGAGGGGCGTCTTAGCGGAAGAAAGGGCTGGAGCTGAGGTGCCTCTTGGTCTCCTCATCTCCAACCCTCTGGGCTCTTGTCAGATGACAATCTATGCACCACCCCCCGCCAAGATGGAAGCCCCTGCCCCCGACTCTGGAAGCTTCCGCCGTGTGAAGTGGCTCCTCCCCAGTGTCTGACATTTGGGGTTGCTACCTGTGCCAGGAGGTGCCACACCTGGGCAGTGTGGCGGCTCCTGGGGGGCACACAGCCTGCCTGCTTCCCCTCACGGCTGCCCCTTCAGAAGGGGGAGTGTGGGACCAGTGGGGGCTTCCTGTGAGGGCAGCTGTAGGCAGGGGTACGCCCCCCTTTTCTGGCGGGGCTCCTGAGCCTCCCTGCTTGTCCTTTGCCCCCTCCCTTGCAGGTGTTCGTGGTGGAGCTCTCGGGGTGGCGGCTCCGCTGTCTGCTTCACGGCCTGCTGCGCGCTCACGGCCGCTCTGGCCCTGCAGGTGAGGAAGCGGGGGGCTTGTGTCCTGTCCACCCCCTGTGCCCTCGCCTGCAGTACAAGGAAGAAGACCAGAATGATTTTTCAGCAGCTACGCTGAATCAGATGCCTGGGGACCATCCGCAGCCCCCGTCACCCGCACCCTGTAGCAGCCCGCTGCCCACTAACGGCCGGTTTTCCGGGGGCATCCGGATGGTGCTGCCTGTTGGAGGAGCCAGGAGCCCTCCTTCCCCAGCCCTGGCAGAGCGCCTGGCCCTCTGGGAAGCAAGGTTCCCAACGTTCCCCATCCCCGGTTGTCCCTGCTTTGCCGGCTGTGATCCTACCCTGTTTTCTCCCCACAGGACACAATATCCTGGATGCCTTATGTCAGCATCGCCTGCATCGTCTCCTACGTCGTAGGACACGCCCTTGGGCCCAGTACGTACCCCAGAGCTGGCTCTATGCTTCCCTGCTCTCCTCTTCTGCACCATCAGCCCTAGAAACCTCCGCTCCCCGGAGAGGCTCCTTGGAGGGCCGGATGCAGCCCCCAAATGGCTTCTCCCCCTACCTTCCTATCGCAAAGGGGTTTGGACAGAGCATAATTAGACTGAAATCAATAAAGCAGCCTGGGCAGTGTGGGTTGAAACGGGCTGTGTGGTTGCCGTAGAGATCCTTACGGGTGGTCACAGGCCCCTTTTTGGGACATCACAGGTGTCACCTGTGGTGCTCAATTCTTGCCGTTGGCCTCCTCACTCTGCTTTGCTACCAGCCCTACAGGAGTCCCAGAGACACACTGTCCCTCGGGCCCCCGGCACGGCAGGGGCTCCGGGACCCTTTATGGGCCTGCTCTGCTTCCAGAGAAGGCAGCCCTTCCTCTTCTCCCACTCTGCACCACCCCCGCAAGGTCCCACCCCGCGCTACTGATCACGGAGACCTTCCTGCAGTCCTCCCGGCCGTCTGCCTTCATGGTGGGGGGCAGCGTCCACTGGCTCTCCAACTTCACCGTGGGCTTGACCTTCCCCTTCATCCCAGTGAGTGCGCCCCGGGGGTCCCAGATGTGCAAATCCTCGAGCGGTAAAGGGAGAACCTTTTTGAGAACGTGAACCCCGATCCCTTTCCCACAGGTGGGCCTCGGACCTTACAGCTTCATCATTTTTGCTGTGATATGTCTCCTCATCACCATCTACATCTTCCTGGTTGTCCCCGAGACCAAGGCCAAGACATTCATGGAGATCAATCAGATTTTCACCAAGATGAATAAGGTGCCAGAGGTGCACCCAGAGAAGGAGGAACTAAAGGACTTTCCAGTCTCTGCTTCAGGGCATAACTCGAGCAGAGGAGCCTGCTAAACAGGTCTGCGTGGAGCTTCCCTCCCGGGCTTTCTGTCTGACCGACAGGTGTCTGTGAACCTCTGGAACTAGGACCAGCCCAGTGTGGAACGCAGGCCCCACTGGGACTGTCCAAAGGGCTTCTGTGCTGTCTCTCTCCAGACTGACCCACCACCAACCCTGACTCGCTATGAGCAGGCACCCTTCACCATGTGGGTTCGCCGTTGGATGGCTCCTGGTAACATGGGCTCTTATGACAAAAGTCATTACTACAGCGGCAGGACGGAAGGAACCCCTCTGGCCGGAGAAATGAACTCTTCTGCAATCCCATGGGTCTGCTCGGGACCGGAGGCATTCTTCCTCCTGCCAGATCCGTCTCCAGAAATACCAGCCCTGGAAAGTGTGATGTCCCAAGTAATGATGTCTAAGAAGCTGGGGCAGGTCCCTGAGGAGACATCAATGAGTCAGAGATTATTAATCGTGAATTATATTGCTGGAGGACAATGGCATTACCTCCGTATACTCAATAAAGCACGTATGATCACTTCTCGCCAACACGTGCTTCTTTCCTGTGAGCAGGTAGAAGACATGGGGCGGGGGTGCCTCCTTGCTCCTTCAAGCAGTCTGTGTTGGAGCATCAGCCGCTCAAAGGGAATCCCGCTGCCTAGAGCAGGGCCTGGCGTGGAGGAGGTGCTGAGACAGTATTTGCTGGAAGAAAGGGAGCAGCGAGAGATGAGGTGTTCACAGAGCGGTGATTTTTTAAAATTTAAGATTGGGGCTCCTCTGCATGTCTTCAGGTGCATAGTGAACACCGAGGGGCCTTGAAAGTGAGATGGGGAAGGGGGGCCGGGAGGAGGAGGGATGCGTCCCCGCACATATGGCACATACAGCAGAACTGGGGGCTTTTCTTAGAGACGTACGTGCACGCGTGTGTGTGTGTGTGTGTGTGTGTGTGTGTGTGTGTGTGTATGGGACAGGATGCGAGATCTGCTCCCGGGCATGAAGGAGGCAGAGCCAGGGGCCGGGTGGGACAGAGGTAGGATTAGGAGCAGCCTTTGTAGGGGTGGAATGGGGATCCCACAGGTGATGAATTAAATAACTCACAGGAGTAGCGAGGGCCCAGAAGTGAAGAGTCCCCTGCTGGGGTTGGGCCTCCCTTGACCTCCAGCTGTAGGGACCTGCCGTGCCAAGGGGGCACGGCAACCAGCCGCACATGGCAGGAGCTCTCAACACGGAGGAGTGGTCCAGCTGGGATCTCAGAATCCAGGAGGCTGGAGCTCCAGTCCTTGGTCCTGCCACTTCGTGATGGTGTGACATGGGCTCCTCGCTTGGCTTTCCTGTATGCTGGTTTCCTCTTCTGTTAAACAGAACTAATAACAAGTGTCTCACATGGTTACAAGGATGAAAGAATATGTTTATGGTGTTTAGATCAGCGGCTGGCATGTATTCTGTACTTGTTATTTTTAAGAGCTTGAGAATGAGCATTTTGTCTTGAAGACAAATAAACCCACAGGTAAAATACAGTGAGAGACCACTATCCATGTATAACTGGAATTAAGCAATTAAGTAAATCGATGGCAGATGGTGAGAGCCATCTCATTGGTGGAGATAAGCCAAGACAGGGAGCCTAGGATGATCCACGCAGTCCTAGATGAATGTTGGAGATACTGGTATGAGCTCACATTCAGTTTAATATAAACACAGATAGCTACCTATAGAAATACTGGAGTGCCTGGGGGACTCAGTTGGTTAAGCATCTGACTCTTGATTTGGGCTCAGGTCATGATCTCAGGGTCGTGAGATTGAGCCCTGAGTCATGGAGTCTGCTCAGGATTCTCTCCCTCTCCCCCTTCCCCTACCTCCTCTCTAAGAAAAAGAAACACTTGAGGGCATGTGTATTTCCATGGGTTAGGAAACACAAGAGGGAGGCAGGGCCTGGTGCTGGTTGCATGGGAAGGAAGGTGTGGGATCAGGGAAGACCACAGCATCTCCCCCATGCCGAAGAAGCGGTAGGAAAGGGAAGGATGGACACTCCAGGTGAGAGAAGCACACAGAGGTGTTCAGGGGAACTGTGGGTCGGTCTGAAGTGAAGCCAGAAAGGTGTGGGTCCTTGTGAGCCAAACTGAGTCTGAACTGGGTCCTCAACACAACTTGGGTGTTGGGTGATCACTGAGTCTAAGGGAGGACTGTGGCAGTAATAAGGACTGGGGGGGACTTGAGTAGGGGGACCGGTTGGCAAGAAATAAGGGGGGCCCGTCGGGCTGAGACGTGAGAGAATTCAGAGAGAGACCCATAAGATTAAAGGACCCCTCGGCCCTCACAGGTGAGCCACCTTGCCACCTTGCCCAGTTTCCGACAGGCCAGGGGTGGAGGGTGGAGGGGGCGGAGCGGCAGGCTTGGGGAGAAGACAGTAACATTTTTGGACATGTGGAGATGGAGGAGCTCAGGAAATATGTAAGAAGTGTCTGGAAGGACATGAGTCACGTGGCTCTGGAGCTCAGGAGAGAGAGACCACATTCACATAATTATTATAGTATATTGGTATAATTGTTGTCTTTTATCATTAATTTCTTACTGTGCCTAATTTCTAAATCAAACTTGATCACAGGTATGTGTGTATAGGAGAAAATATAATGTACCCAGGGTTCAGTGCTATCCACAGTTTCATGGCGCTCTGGGAGGGGATCCCCCATGGATCAGGGGGACTATTATATTTCTTGCTTCCTCCTTCACAATGCCTATTTGTCTATTTTATCACGTGACACGTACATGTACGGAACTTCTAAAAAATAAATATGCATACACTGGAGGTTTGTGTTCAAAACTTTGTTACTGATGGAATAGTGCTATGGGAAAAGTTTGGAGACCACTGGGGGCCAAATTGGCCACAAAGAGAAGCAAAGATGAAGAAGAAAGGACACTTTGGGAGAATTAGAAAGTTGGAGGTTCTTTGGATGCTGACCAAGGTCAGTCAAGGTCAGGGCAGTTAGCACGTGAGAGAGATGGAGGTGAGGAGGGCTGTGCACCCTGTTTGCTCTCAAAGTTGCATGCACAGGGGCGCCTGGGTGGCTCGGTCGGTTGGGCATCTGCCTTCAGCTCAGGTCATGATCCCGGGGTCCTGGGATCGAGCCCCGCGTCAGGCTCCCTGCTCGGTGGGGAGCCTGTTTCTCCCTCTCCCTCTCCCCCTGCTTGTGTTCCCTCTCTCGCTGTGTCTCTCCCTGTCAAAAAAAAAAAAAAAAGTTGCGTGCACAGTGCCGAGCATGGGCCGGCAGGGGGCAGGGGGCATTCAGCGGGGGCTCACTGAGTGTTTTCTGAGTGGCCAAGTCTTGCTTGGAGGAGTTCAGGTGGTGAAGGCAGAGCAGAGTGAGGCTGAGCTGACTCGAGAAAGAGCATACCTGAGGAGAGGTCGCCAACCCCAAGATGACGAACGTGGATCATGGTGGCAGGTGGCAGGTGGCTTTCACCAGCAGGTTCCATGCTTCTGGATTTCACAGACGAAAATGTAGCAGACTAGGGGTGCCTGGCCGGCTCAGTCAGAGCATGTGACTCTTGATCTCAGGGTCGTGAGTTCGAGTCCCAGGTTGGGTTGTAGAGATTACTTAAAAATAAAATCTTTAGGGGCGCCTGGGTGGCTCAGTCAGTTAAGCATCTGCCTTTGGCTCATGTCATGATCCCAGGGTCCTGGGATCGAGCCCCACATCAGGCTCCTTGCTCAGTGGTGAGTCTGCTTCTCCCTCTCTCTCTGCCTGCCACTCCCCCTGTTTGTGCTTGCTCTCTCTCTCTCTCTGTTGAATAAATAAATAAAGTCTTTAAAAAAATAAACTCTTCTGAAAAAATAAAATATTTAAAAACAAAATTCAGTGGACTACATTGGGCTGCACTCTCCCCCTCGTTTTCTGCCAACAAAAACACGAAGAAGGAGAAGGAGGAGGAGGAAAAGGAGAAGGAGAAGAAAAAACAACTCTGGAAGAAGAAGGAGGAGGAGGAAGAGGAGGAAAAGAAGAAGAAAGAAGAAAGAAGAAGAGGAAGAAGAAGGAGGAGGAGAAGAAGGAGAGGAAGAAGATATAAGAAGAAGAAGAAAAAGAAGAAGAAGAAGAAATAAGAAGAAGGAGGAGGAGGAGGAGAAGAAGAAGAAGAAGAAGAAGAAACAAGAAGAAGAAGAAAGAAGAAACAAGAAGAAGAAACAAGAAGAAAGAAGAAGAAATAAGAAGAAAGAAGAAAGAAGAAGGAGGAGAAGAAGAAAAAGAAGAAAGAGGAAGAAGAAAGAAGAAGAAACAAGAAGAAGGAAGAAGAAGAAACAAGAAGAAGAAGAAACAAGAAGAAGGAAGAAGAAGAAACAAGAAGAAGAAGAAGGAGGAGGAGGAGGAGAAGAAGAAACAAGAAGAAGAAGAAGAAACAAGAAGAAGAAGAAGAAACAAGAAGAAGAAAGAAGAACAACAACAACAAGAAGAAACAAGAAGAAGAAAGAAGAAGAAATAAGAAGAAAGAAGAAAGAAGAAGAAGAAGAAATAATAATAAGAAGAAACAACAAGAAGAAACAAGAAGACGAAGAAAAAGAAAGAAGAAGAAGAAACAAGAAGAAGAAACAAGAAGAAGAAAGAAGAAGAAGAAACAAGAAGAAG